CTCCTCTTCACATGACCTCCTCCAAGTCACACCACCCTTGCACTGACGACTATCTCGCCGATTCCCTTTCAGGTTCCACTCGAGTCAGGTCACTTGATGGTTTTCTCAGAGTATGGCCAGCCAATCCACCTCGATGTCTTTCTGCATATTTGTTGTACAGTTGGTTGGTTCCTCCTGGGTTGGTTGGTTCTCAGTATTCCCTCAGTATTGTTGATCTTTTCTGGCCGGCTATCTAAACTAGAGGGAAACACTGAGCGAAGACAGCTGTTAATGAAGGTCTATAGGAGTTTATTCGAAGTGCCCTTCTTGACGCGGCGCGGTGCCAAATCTCTGATCCGTAGCACTGAGTAGCACTGACTGACTTCACATTGGATTTGAAAACCAGTATCTTATTTTTCATGCTGAGTGCTGTTGGTCTACACATAGACTTGAAAGTAGTGAAAGCTTGCTTTGCTTTCCCGATGATTGTCACTTCCATATCCCCATCAGATCTGTCAGCCTGTAGTTGAAATGACGATGCCTCCTAGGGAGGTAGGGAGGTATGTAAGTGAAGGAGTTTGCTGCTTTCAGATTTTCCCCATTTATGCTGGCTGATTGTTGTCTGTTGTTGTTGTTGTTGTTTTTCTTGACCAGGAATCTTCATCACCTCTGTTTTCTATACGTACACTTGAATTCGCATCTTCTTTGAATGCTTCTTATACCGACTTGTTCCTTTTCACTTGTATATTTTCCAGTTTGTGGGAAATCAGGCAAATGAATAGTACACATTTCCACAGTCATAGAAGAGATAATGAGATATAAGAATGGCACTAAGAAATAACCATATGAGGTGATTCCAGCAGCCTGCTGAAGGCTTTCATCAACAAGCGATATTCAGATGACTGCTCACGGAGAGTAAAACTGAAGAACTCCGGCAACAAAATGAACAACAGCCTATTACCCAAAACATATTCTGAAGAAAAAAAAGATGGATGGATTGAACAAACGCTTAGGAATCTGTTGAACGATATCATGAACCACATAATCGACCGTGCAGAATCTGAATTGGAACAGACCAGTTTGACACACATGGATCCATTGGTAGCACAGAGGAGATAAGTGATTATAGGCCAATCGTATCATCATTAGGCGAAGTTAAACTTTCGACACCACTAACTACCAATCAGCGAATTATCCAATGAGATTCACGAACGATGTCGAATTATCCAATGAGTTCACGAACGCAGTTCAATGTTGTATAGCGCCTGATTCATTTCTAATGCGTGACCTTACAAGGTTGTTGTTGCAATTCGAGGAGGTTAGTGTTTCTCAGTATTTCCTAGAGAGGGTATGCTGATAATTTTATTATTTCGTAGGAACTTTTTTCGCTAGGTCGCTTCTCTCCCTAAGGATAGCAGATAGAAAAGCAACTACTCTTATACCTATTGTTACCAGAATTGTTAAGCGGGGGTCAATTATACACACGGAAAGGCTACAATTCGCTGTCATCTCTGGGATATATTCATCGTAGAGACAACCATTCAAGTGATTTTGTGGATCCCGTTACGAGGACACATACAAATTCTAATGAAGGATTTTGGGGCAGGTTGGAAAATAGGATAAGGGCTATAAATGTATCTCAAAAGGATCTCATTTATAGTCATTTGGATGAATATATATACAGGATATGGTGTGATTTCTCCATTGACAGTCCCATGCTAAACTGGGAGATGTTTCTCTCACATGTTCGAGAAAGATATCCCATGTAACCTTTTTTATTATCTATTTTATGCTTTTTTTCTATAAATATACATTTCCATTCAACATATATGCCTCTTTAATGTGATTGGTCCGTTCGAGGTCGTTTGCTGATTGGTTGTTAGTGGTGTCGAAAGTTTAACTTTGCCCATCATTATTACTCTTCCCTTAGGTTACGAGTACAATATCCAACTTCAATAGCACATCTCAACATAGACTGTCATCTCCTTCTCACACCAGCTGCTCCATATCACTGACAGACTCACAGCACCCTCGTCGTCTCCTATTCGTATTCCACTCACGTGTTGCCACCCAACGTTCTCCACAGTGTGAGTAACAATACATCTTCTTATTCGTTGGAATATTTTTCTCACCAATAAGATATTGATTAGTTTGCTCCTAGGTGTTTCTTAATGCTAATTCTTTCTGACTGACCATCGGATTCTTATCATTGCGCAGCCATGCAAAGCAAATGACGACTAACATCTGCAGAAGGCTATTTATTGTAAATGCTTTAGGTGACATTCACTCCAAATTTCTTACTTATATAGAAGAATTAAAATTAACGTTATCGTTGAAAATCCGAATTTCGTTCTTCATGTTTAGTGTAGAAGATCTCCCCATATGGATTTCGTAGTGATGAAGGCCTTTTTTTTTGTTTTTTCAATCCTGACTTTGAAATTTTCATCCTTTCCGCAGTCTTTAGTTGAAACTGTGTGAAGTAAGTGACGTCTGTCAAGTATATTGTATTCAATATGATCGATACTTATTGGTGACCAGTCGACGGCATTGCCATGGATTCTCCATTGGTACAATTTCGGCAGATGTATGCCTTGCTATGCTTTAAAGTTGTAAATTGAAACAAGTAATAGATAAAACGGATTCTTATTTTCGTTTTGTTGATGATACTTTCATCCTTCTTGATGAGAAAGCTGACAAGAATGAAATGTTAATAAAATGTAGTGATGTACATCCATCGCTCATCTTCACTTGTGAAGAAGAAAATGATGGCAGACTATATTTCCTTGACGTTCAGTTGAGCAGATCAGAGGATGGTTCACGCAAGAGAGAAGTCTACAGAGAACCTACATCTGTAGGACAATATAAACATTTCCTCAATTATTCACTAATCTCATACAAAATCAATTTTTTGTTAGATGCCTCACAAATAGAGCAAGATGAATATGTACAGATGACTCCCTACAAAATGAGTTAGGATATATCTAAAATAAGCTGGTCCAAATGGGTTATCCTAGGAGATTTGTAAGCAGACACATGAACACCAAGTACAATAAAGAGAAACTGACAACACCTAAAAAGAAACAACTGTTCATGAAATTGCAATTTTAATGGGGATGTGGCTAGTGAATTCTTACATCTGAGATTATCGAGAGCGATAAAACGGACTTATACTGCCTCCACCCTTTGTTTGTCATTTTCCAGCTGCCAACCGATAATCATTGCTCAAACGAAAGACAACCTACCTAGCTGTGCCATTTCTATGTGTATCTACAAATTTAGGTGCTCCTGTGGAGATAGCTGGCTACATGGGGCGAACAACTGGACAGATTAAGAAACGCGTCAATGAGCATCTTCCATCATGGTTCGGAAAAGGTCAAATAAAATCTATAGGAAGTTCTATTTTGGCTCATTTGATTGATCATAGTGGTCACCAAGTGGACAGAAGTAGAAGAAGTGCCTTCTAGGTTATCTATCGCATTCCATCGAGCCTACCGAACGGAATTCAAACTACCCTTTTACACATAGTCGAAGCTATGGGAATTCGAGAAAGAGAACGATCATAGTCTTCCTGCATACACAAGAAGTTAGTTCCAACTTCGTCCGTTTAAGCTTGCTTAGGTAAACTCTAATTCAAAGAAACCCTCCCACCCACTCTTATTTTCCATTTCCTTCGTACCTTTATGATAATTGAATAAGGCATTAAGAAGACAAATTTCGCGAGATGATATCGTCATTTCGTAGTTTCTTTACAACCGCTTTACAACTAACATGGTTAACAATGATAAAATAAAGTTCATGAAAATTACTCAGTTAAATAAAAACAAAAAGTACATACTAATGACCAATCATATTTAGATAGGTCATGTAGTCCAACTTAGGCGAAGATTGAAGTCCATCGATTTTTGTACACACAGTTTAGGCTGTATGTGATTGATCCACCAAAGTGCTTCCATCACCTTCAATAACCAGCCTTGAATTAGAGTTATGTGATGAAATTATTGTGAAACAGTCATTAACATCGATTGATTTTGTGACCAGACATTAATAAGTGTTTTGCAATGGATGATGATGCTGGATTTTTACTAAGATTAATCGCGTTAGGATTTTCGATATGATTTACTAGCCATTTTGGAACATGCTCTTTTCGACGACATTGGAACATTCTTTTAGTTCTACCTATATAGGTGTCACCGCAGCAACTGCAGGAGAACTTGTAGATACAGTTTGAAGTAGAGTCCACAGAATTTCGTCCTTTAATCGTAGGTACAGGGATCGAAAATGTTCGGCAAGTGAGAAAAAGAGATGTGGCGGCGTAGAATGTGCGTTTGATGGCTGACCGAAGTCTTTGAGCTGTCAACTGCATAATCTGGTTGCGACCAGATTATAATCGATGATATAATTATGAAGCACAATATATTTTGTTCGAAATCTTGTCATTCGGTAAATAATCATACTGTTTCCCTGTGTATGATACATCAAATAAACAAACTAATATGGAATTACTTACTACCACAGTGGCCAAGTTTTACACAAATATATGCATGTATATGCATGGTTGGAGAGAATCCTAACCGCTTTGCCACCGACGCACACCACTGCCCTATGTATGTATGGTGTTGAAGTAGTCTCCACCGAATCGCTTTGCAGTCAACGCTTTCAAAGGGCTAAACTTGTGTGCGCCACTTGTGAAACCAGCTGAAAGGAATGACTCCAGAGAATATGGAAATGTAATAAAGATGTGCACAGTTGAAGCCCTCAGTTCCACCCAAAAAAAAAAAAACAAGGTAATAATTATAAAATAAGATGACAGACTAAACAAAACATCGCTGGATAGAAAACAACTCTCATTTCATGGGATTGTATGAAGGCGGCGAGTGGTGGTGGTGGTGGTAAGGGAGGGGCGGAGCAGTTGGCAAAACAAATGATGATTATGTAATAATGATACTTCCCAATAATAATAATGATAATAATAATAAAAAAATAATAGCCATAGTAAAATCAAAGCAAAGCATTTAACTCACATCACATGGAAATTGTTTACAGGCTGTATATTCAGGCACATGACATAATGGCAATTTGTGCTTGTTGCCAGAATAGAAAAAGTCTGGACGATATTTTGGTCGACTTAATTCACGTTGTATATCTTGCATAATAGCTAATTTTGTGCCTTTATCCAATAGTAGACTATTTAATTCACGTGCTATAATATGACTTGTATATGAATCTAAACTGATTAATGAGGTTAAAGCAGATGGGGAATCTGAAGTTGGCGGTTTCAATCGACTTTGCTAAAAGAAATGGGAAAAACACATACACACACACATACACAGAAGAAAAGTTATGCATATCAGTTGCTGAAAATTGAAAAAAATATCAGTAAGGTGGTTGGAAAGTATTCAAAAATTATGGATTAATAGCAATAATACTGGTTTGTAAGAATTAGATTTGTTTTTATGAGTTTGACAACGGATTGATATCAATCAGTTAGAGAACCATTGAAAACCAGCCATAAAAAGTACTGGACAGTTAGCTGTTTCATCAGCCTAGTTTGCGAATCATCGACAGTACTCACCCACCACCACCACCACCACCAGGCTTCGAATCAAGCAGCTTCCGGTTACAAGGCGAGTTCGTACAGCATTCAGCCACGGGGACCTGATTCAATGGCCAGCTCATTGAATTCCAACTGCCTACCAACTCATGATTTAGCGTGACTGACACCAACCAATGTGTCATCAGTGGGATTATCCATCCTCACACACGTGACTCGATCCACCTCTCATTGGTCACGACTTCTCAATAGAAGTCCAGGAAACTGCATTCTGCAGCAAGTCACTCACTAGCGAGTATCACATTCATTTTCTATAGTTGCTTTGTAAGGATTAGTTTTGTAGATACGAGTTCGTTGTGGATTGATATGAGTTAAAGAAGCATTGAAAATCAGAGAGTAAAGGACAGCTGCTATTTCATCCCACTAGTTTGAGAAATCATCGCCAGTACTCACCCACCACCACAGAGGCTTAAAAAAACCAGCTAACTCGTATACCATTCAGCCATTGGGACCTGATTCAATGAATTCTAACTTTGAATGGCTCTCTAAATGATATCAGTCTATAGTCAAACTCGTAAAAACAAATCTATTCCTTACCCACCAAACTATAGAAAACTAATCTGATGCTCGCTAGTGCATGACTTGCTACAGGATGGGAAGTCGTGACCAGTGTGGTCCAACCGGTAAAGTGTGAAAATGGATATCCCACCGATATGATATTGGTAGGTGGTTGTGCTAAATCACGATTTGGTAGCAGTTGGAATTCATGAACTGGCCATTGAATCAGGTCCCCGTGACTGAATGGTATACGAACTAGCTTGTGCTTTGTAACCGGAAGTTGCTAGGTTCGAAGCCTGGTGGTGGTGGTGGGTGAGTACTCGCGATGATTCGCAAATCAGGATGAAATAGCTCTCCAGTACTTTTTGTGGCTGGTTTTCAATGCTTCTCTAACTGTGATATCAATCCATAGTCAAACTCATAAAAAAATAATAATAACAGTTATTATTAGTACACGTATACATGATTGTAAGCGACTTGTTCAATTAGACGACTACTTTGGTTGTTTTCAGTAGACTTTACCTGGCTTCCTTACACAATCTGCAACAGTGAAAGTGATCAGTTGCATACTGATTAACCAGAACAGAATCAAACAGTTATCACGACTGTCTGTCGACATTAATTTAAATCTCTTTAGTTGGTAAATGGTGACTAGCAAGCAGTAGAATCCATAATGTACATTTCGTCCCATTCAAGACTCGTCCACTGGATGTACCCGCATTCCCCAGTGAGTGGTGATATTCCCACTAGACCACTCCGACCACATTATTTGGTTGATAGAGATTAATTAATGGAATCAAGAGTTGTTATTACATGGCTGGCTTGAGGCAGTCGGAAAGAAGCCTTGCCTGGCACCTACGTTTCATACTGGTTGGAACTCCCCATCAGTCAGCCAGGTGTATCTGCAATCACATTGAAGCAATTCATATCTCTTCTGACTGATAGAATTCAGTCTGAATCAAACAAAGGACTACAATCATTACACAGTTACTAATCAGTGTTCAATCTAAAGTCCTACAGGAGGTGAGCCGCTAGCCTGAATACCTTACTGGTAACGTCTCAGACTGCAGTACTAGGCGACACGAATTCGAATTCAAAAGGCTTCCTTTCGATTGCTTCCAACCATCTAATATTGAAAATTTAAAGTACAATGTGACAGTGAGCCATATAGCTTGATGGTGGCCACATTGCGAATGTGACTGACTGATACAAATCAATCTGTAGCAAAAGACTAGACGCATAACAATATTAAGTGCCCAATCAATAGAGTCAAGAGTAACCTTTTCCCCATATTTGATTATTCATCAGCCGGATGTACACCTGTATCCCACTCAAAGTGAGCAAAATGAGAATGTCACTGAAATCTGAAACCAGTACCACCTGACGCTTTCAGAATCAAAAGTTTATCCCCACTAAGCCATTGAGTCAAAACAGCCAATGGGAGTATAATTTGTTATTGTCTTAGTAAAGGGAGATTTGCAATTAATTGTGTTCTCTGAAGAGTTGGTTGGTTTAAGTGAGAAGCTTTCGTCCTCCTTCTGGACAACATCTTTGCATAAAACTTTTAATTATTAAAAAAAGGTATCATCATCCGAGAACACAAAAACAGCTGTCAAAAGTTATGATACATGTTCTTTCATAGTAATCCATGTAGATAGTTATGGGCATCAATTTGATTGGGATAATGTCGAGGAAACATGAAAATTGGAGTCAGAGAATTCCTAGAAGCCTGGTACTCAAGTGAATCAGCCAGAGATTATTATTATTATTTCTTTTAATTCCTAGAGGAACATAGAGCTTCAGCTGCATGTCTCCAATGCGTTCGGTTCCCCACCAACGTTTTCACCTGGCTCCAGGTCTACCCACATGTTTTCATCTTCTCTTCACATGACCTCATCCAAGTCATTCTCTCACAAACGACTAATTCGTCGCTTCCTTTTTTGGGTTCCACTCGAGCAATAGCTTGGTCTAGGATGTCACTCACTTGATGGTTTCCTCAGAGTATGGCCAGCTAATCCATCTCCATTTCTTCCTGCCTATTTGTTGTACAATCGGTTACTGTTGGTTCGCTCATTGCGAGAGATCACTGTTGCTTATCTTTTCAGCCAGGATTAAAAAACACATTATTATAGACCACATGCACAAACTAATAAAAAGTAAATCACGTGACAAGAAGGTGAGAAATTCAAGTCAATAAAAAATGATCAATACAAATGTAAATTGACTACAAGTCAGTCACGAAGATGTTTGATGTCAGGAGACACAATTCTATCATTATTCACGGAGGCAGAATTTAAACCAATTCATCTGATGCTAAAACTTGCGCTGAAAGGGAATGTTGTCTAGCATAGGGACTACAAAAGCTTCGCAATTAAACCAACCAGCTCTTCAGAGAACACAACTAATTGCAAACCACCCACCTGACCTACAAATATTTTGAATTATTTCAAAATTGAGATTTATTTTTTACTCCTTCACGTTCCTCAGTAGAACATAGGGCTTCAAGCTAGGGGCTTGAAGTTTCTGCAGAAGTATTTATTTTACAGGATTGGGCTGTTAGCCTCATGCCCAACCTTTCCTCTTTACCAGCATTATTTCTGACTCAGCGAGTAAAGGAGTGCATCGGCCGGCTATCGAACCCCAGAAATGCTCTGTCCCTGCTGAAACACCAACTCCTACTATGAATGGTTCATTTGATGCCTGAAGATTAACACACGGTTGTTGGTGGCTAGTAATGAAATAAACAATATTCAGGTTACAGGACTTGTAGGGATTTCAGAATAATTTCAACAGTCATATGTTCGTCACGGATCAGCATCAGTCGAAGACAGATTATTGGAAACCAGCGCATGGAGCACTGGACCCCCAACACACACACGCACACAGGGGTTACACTCCGGGTCTTCAGATTCTGAAACCAAGCTCATCGACCATTTATCTACTTTGGCTGGAATTCAATTAAATTAATCCAGAACCAATACTAGTTCCATAATCTGAATATCAATTGTCAGTTCACTCTGTCTGTCTGTCTGGATTCAACATAGAACTTGTCACCAAAGTGCAGCAGTTCCAGTTCCCACGTTCTAAACAGCAGACAAAGGTAGACAAGAGGATGAGTGAAGAGAATCAATACAGTCTGACAAGTACAAGAGTCAAACAGAATGGGTAATGGTAGAAAGGAATATGAAAGATTACAGAGACTGAATACATCTGCGCTGGCATTGACAACGATTTTGAGCCATGTCACCTATTGTCTCCAGCCATTGATTCCTAGAGTCCCGAGGGCCCCAACCCGGGAGTCTGCATCTCCCTACCTGACTCAGTTTAACTGTCAAGGATTTCATGGATTGATGAGGCCATGTTTTTGTTTGGCCACCACTGGCTCTTTTCCAACCTGAACCTATATCAGCTAGCAATGCCCGTCGGGGGAGGCGGTGGTTAGGCATGCGCACCACGTGACCTAGCCATCTTAGTCTATGTAACTTTATAGCCTCGTCGATTGATTTTCCCTCTTTGCCCAACACTCTACGCCTAACGTCAACATTACTTACCTTGTTAAACCACCTAACGTGAGACAGAGATCGCAGACATCTATGATCGAAAGCAGTCAACCTTTTCATGTCTTCAACGCGTATTGGCCATGTTTCAGAGCCATAGAGAAGGACGGAGCGAACTGATGAGCAGTACACACGTCCCTTGGTTGATAACCGGATGTCACGCCTACGCCAGAGATGGTGTAAGTCAGCGAAAGCAGCTCGAGCTTTTCGGATCCGTGCTGAGATTTCATCGCCAATCAGTCCGTTGGTGCTAATACAACTTCCCAAATAGGTGAAGTGGTCAACATGTTCTATCACTTCACTCCCTATCACTAAGTTAGGAGTTGACGTGGTCCAGTCCTGTAGCAGCATCTTACATTTTGCAGGGGCGAATCGCATGCCAAACATACGAAGATTGCTGCTCAAGGTGTTCAGAAGACTCTGCATTTTGTCAGCATCCTCCCCTAACAGGACTATGTCATCTGCATATTCTAAGTCCATAAGATTATTCCCTGGTAACAAGTCGATTCCTAAGTCACTACGTTCAGTTAAGGATACTTCCATCAGCATATCTATGATGAAGTTAAACAGAAATGGGGAAAGTGGACATCCCTGTCGGACACCACTGGTTGTTACCAATTCAGATGACAATTCCCCATAAGCCCTTACACGACTACGTGAGTTTGAATAGAGTGCCTTGATTAGTGCAATGTACTTTCTTGGCACTCCCTTCACAGTCAGACATTGCCATAGTACCTTTCGATCCACGGAGTCGAAGGCCGCCTTCAAGTCAAGAAATATGACAATTGTTGGACGCCGAAAAGTGTGTCTATGTTCTAGAATCTGTCGAAGAGTGAAGATATGATCTATGCACCCTCTACCTGGTCTAAAGCCTGCTTGATTTTCCCTTGTCTGTTCCTCCCGAGTTCTGCTTAGTCTATGCATGATTACTGAGCCTAGGATTTTAGAGACTATGTTCGTTAGGCTGATCCCCCTATGATTATCACACGAGGACTTGTTTCACTGATGACTACTGGCCTGACCGATAGCTGCTAGCTTGATGTGGTGGTCGGTCTTGAACATCGCAATGACCCAACAAGTTACACTGGCTAAAACAAATGTTCCTGCTGGTCCCACCATGCCAGGAAGGCTGTTAGGATAGCGACTCGACTAAAAGCAGTTACCGGAATAGTACAAGAATTGTTTTACACTATGCTGCGGGTCTGTGGGCGAAGTCGTACTGCTGAAGAACAGGGGTGTAACAGCAGCGAGGTGTTTCCCTCAGATGACCAGGATGCCAGCTATGCTGTCTCTCCACACTGGAGATAGTGGGTCAGAAAAGCTCGGCCTCAACAATTTTACATCCTGACTTGGCCCGCGGTGGTGCGTAACCAGTGGTAAGTTTACTACTAGGGAAGCAAACCAAGAAACCAGTTCATACAGGCCGTATGTGACCGGCCAGCATCAAGCAGTTGTCCGCTGGGCTCTGAAGTCATGCAACACTAACCCTCTCTCTGTTTCAGGTACCCGAAGAATCAAAACAACTTGCACGGTGTGGGCAGCCGGGAAGTAACAACCGCCCATACACTTCCAAGTTCACACGAAGCCTTCCTAAGCATTATTCTCCTCTGACTATTGGATGGATATCTTAAAGCTGTCGTCACGGGTGAGTTCATTACGGCAAGGTGATGTGGATCCCTATCTCAAGCATTGACAAGGGTAGTGTTGCATCACCAGTTGACATAGGGTGGATAAATTCCAGCTCAGTTGGCTAAAAATGGTCACAAATCTTGGTCTCGCAACCCCATGTCCCGTGTTCGATCCCTAGCAGGATCGTGGTGCACACTTCTGAAGAGTCCTGAACTAGGATGGAATAGACATACGTTTCCATTTACCATAGATGCCCCTGCAATGTGATTGGTCTGTTCAAGGTCGTTTGCTGATTGGTTGTTAGTGTTGTCAAAAGTTTAACTTTGCCGACTATTGTGTTTAAATAACACACACACACACACAAACACCAAAATAAGGTATAATTAGCAATAATAGCGGAATACATACTGAGTCTTGTGGTGAAATTGATCGATTCACTGTAATCGATAAATGACGTGGTTGTATTTGTGGTTGTTGTTGTTGATGTGATTGTTGCTGTTGCTGCGATTGTTGTTGTTGTAGGTCAGTCAATGTTTCATTATCTCTAATGCTTGTAGCTAATTCACTATACAATGATGAAATGAGTAAACTGCGTTTACGACGAGAAATATTTGTTGCCAATGAACCATGCAATAACTCATAACGATATACTTGATTCAATTTATCATATTGTATATTTTTTGAACTATCTGTATATGGGATATTAAAATTTGTACAAGATTCAACACGACTATCACCAATGGCACCACCACCGCCAGCGATTGCAGTTGTTGTAGAACTATTACGATTCGATGCTGTGATCACTTGTCTTGAACTAGTTGATATTGATGTAGTTGACGGAGAGAATGGTAGCTTGTTTTGTCCATGTAGTTTACGGAGTATAGCACGGGCGATACGTCGAACAGCAGAACGACTAAATTGTACAGGCGGTGGAAGCACTGCAACACATGCCTGTATAATAAAAAAGAAAATAATATTGCTATGCTACACACGTTTTTTTTAAAATTGTTTCTCATAAATACGCAAATAAAGATAATAATATATTTTATCATGAGTTGAAATCAGTTAGAGAATCATTGGAAGGCCAAACAAGGGGGCATTGACGGATTAACTGACTTGGTTTCAACAAAGAATTATGCATAGATGTCCACAGCAGTTTGATTTGTTACACAATACACGCAATAGACCACTTATCAACAACTTTGAGCGATATCTTTAACTGTCTTCAGCCTTCATTGGTTCTTAGAAACCCAAGAATCCCAACCAGCCAAACAGTCTACACCTCCTGGATGGCTTACACCAACTGTTATGGACTTCATTGACTGAAGAAGCCATAATTTCATTTGACTACCATTAACTGTTTTCCAAACTAATCCTATACTAATAATACATATGAAAAATGTGGGTACTGTGGGTTCCAGCGGCTTAATCGTGTACAAGCTCGCCTTGTAATCAGAAAATCCTGGATTAGAACCCGGTTGGTAGGTGTGTGTGCGTACTGATAAAGAGTCTCAAACTAGGACGAAACAGCTGTCCACATTCCGTGTAGCACGCGAAGCAAGAGAAGAAAGTACAAGAAAAGCATAATAGAAACAGTGAGCAGAGGTGTGAGACAAAGGAGTAATAAAGAAATACAAAACAGTTTCATTGAAGATCATAAGTCACAAGGAGTGGATGCATCTGCCCCAGCCACTGAGAACGATTTTGAGCCATGTCACCAATTGTTTCCTACCATAGATTTTTACCGTCCCGAGGACCCCAGCCTGGAAGTCTACACCTTCCTACATGGCTTAGACCAACTGTTGTGGATTTCATCGACTGGTGAGGCCAAGTATTTGTTTGACCGCCGCTAGCTTTTTTCCAGCCTGACCCTATATCCGCTAACATTGGCTCGTCGAGGGAGGCGATGGCTTGGCATACGTAACACATGTCCTAACCATCTCAGTCTTTGTAGCTTCACGACTTCGTCGATTGATTTCCCCTGTTTACCTAGAACTCTACGCCTAACCTCCATGTTGCTCACCTTATTATGCCACTTTACACGGGAAATAGAACGCAGGCACCTATGATCAAAGACAGCTAGTCTTTTCATGTCTTCCACTCTCAGTGGCCAGGTCTCACAACCATAAAGGAGGACGGAGCGGACTGATGAGCAGTCTCTGAAACAGTATTATTATTTAGTGAATGACAAGGTATCGAACACAACTTATTATTCATAATCATATCATCAACTAGAATCACATGAATTAGAAACTTGACTTTTATGTTGTTTTTTTGCTCTCTCCTATTTTTCGTGGAGGTAGTAGGTAGTGTAATCTAAACCATCAGTAGTAATTTCATACATCGAAGGAACCTTCGGAATCCTTACGCTGGAAAATTCTTAACAAGGCAGGCAAGAATAAAAGGGGCTGGCATTCAAACCAATCACAAACTTAATTAGAAACAAGCTTTGTCGGTTAAAGGGTCAATCATGTGAAGCGTTTGAAACAAAACAACTTAGCTTATCTAATACCCTGCCTGCGATGATTATCAGATCGAATACATAGATCAAAGTTGTGGAACAGGGGAAGTCAGACTAGCCAACATAAAAACCTAGCAGCTAAATCTAGATTAGTTGACCCAAATAAAATAAGAAATCTAGAGAATAGTTCAGCCCTAGCATTACATGCAGTCACAAACAACTATATAATAGAATGGGATAGGATGACAGCTTTGAAACCTAATGTAATATGGTGTAGGGGGAGACTGATAACAACGGAAGCTCTGTTTATCGAATCAACTGAATGAAAATACTTGTGATCGGAATGATTCATTGCCCGTCCAGTCAGATATCTGGAAAATTCTACTACCCCAAGGACGACTAAATAGGACAGAACAAAGAAAACTATAAAACTCAAGTTTCGAAGTCGTGTGATTTTAATTGATGATATGATTATGAACAATAAATTTTGCTCGAAACCGTGTCAGTCATCCAGTAAATAATAATACCGTTTCACTGTGTGATATATCTAATAAACAAAGTAATATGGAATAATCCCATATTAGCTAACATTTCTTGCCGAGAAAGGCGATAATTAAGCACACACAACAACATATTCCACTCACCTTAATCGTGGTAACTTTATAACCTCATGGAATAATTTTCCCTCGTTATCCAATACCCGACCGAAGTCTAAATTTAATAATACCCACCCAACTACACCTACCCTCTAACATGGGAGACAGAATGCAAACACCTGTGACTAAAGACAGCTAACCAGCCTTTGCACGTCTTCCACACTTTCAATAGCCATTTCTCACTCACAACCATTAGGGAGGACAGAGCGAAGGTAATGCTAACACACGCCCTTTGGTCGACAGCGGCATATCATGTTTACTTCAGAGATGGACTAAGTTGGCAAACGACAAAACAAGCCTTTGTATCCGTGCTGAGATTACGTTGGGGATCAACCATAAGGGGCTAGTGGAACCTCCTAAGATAGTGACGTGGTCAACTTGAGTAGGAGTTGAGTATTGGATGGCTGTTTCGTCCCAGTTTCGGACTTTTCATCCTAGTGTGGTGAGAGCAGGCTGCTAGCCGATTGGTTGGCACTAATCTACGTTAAGGTCTAGGTCACTAATATGGGCCGTGAGAAAATATGAACAAGACTGAGTCAACAACCAATCGCAGCAAAGTTAACGTGGCAAAATGTGATTCGCAGATAGAGAACTCGATTTGTCAAGGAATCCCGAAACAACCAATCAGAAGCCTGCGTTTGTCTACCTAAAAACAACCAATCAGATGACTGCGCTTGTCTATAATAATGTTGTTGAAATATGTATAAATACGTGTTGATTTTCATAATAAAACGATCTGTTGCCTGGCCCTTGTCTTCTGTTGTTACACTAGTACGCACCCATCACGGGGATTTGAACCCAGGATCTCCTGATAACAAGGAAAGTTAGTAGACCATTCAGCCATTAGGACATGATCCAATCGCCAATGGAAGCCCTAATTTATGTCAACTCATGATCAAACCTGTAACCTATTAAAATACGGACTAATATCAGTTAGAGAACCATTGGAAAGCAAGAAATACTTCATAAATGCTTAGGACTCCACAGCAATAAGTGGTCACAACACTACTAGAGATCGAATCCAGAACCTTCAGATTATGAGGCAAACCTGTTGATTGAGTATTCAGCCACCAGGATGGAATAGAATGTTCCATAAATTCTAACTTCTGCCGGTTTACGATTTCTAGCTAGGCCACCCAAGGCTAAATAAATGTTATCGGAGAGTTTTGATCTTCACAACTAAAATGATACACCCTATTGGTCTTGACTTTTCCCTACAACAGCTGACAACTTCGTCCTTTATTCACTAACTAGTGAGCATTAAAATTGATTTTTTTTTAACTTTTCATTTGCAGGAATCCGGTTTCAAGTTAGGCCGGTGGTAACTCCACATGTCACATATTATCAGAGGTTAAAAATTCATCAGTCACTGGATTCCTGTCTGAGTAGTTGAATAGTCAACAAGCTCTCCTCATTACCTGAAGGTCCACAGTTCCATTCTCCATAAGGTTATATGTGAGCAGTGATGACTAGTCTCGAACTAGGATCAAACCGTTGTCCAGTACTACTCTCTGGTTTCCAATGGTTCTCTCGCTAACTGATTCCACCAATCAGCAATCCAAAACGTTAGACCAATAAAATCACCGTAGAAAACATAGACAACTAACTATATATCAATTAGTTAATTGGATAGAATACAGTTGTCAAAACAAAAGCATTTTCGTGTTATGAATGAATGATAATACTTACTGTTTGAGAATAAATGATACTACTACCTATTAGGTCATCTATACTGAAGTAAACTAGTGAGTTGAATTCGCAACTCAGATTCACTACTCACCATTACAAGATGTTAAAAAAAACTGGTAACGGCTGATTCGAGTGGTTAATGTCACTCACATAAATCAATAATTCTTTTCAGACAGATCAAAATAAATTCCAAACAGCCAGCAGCCGTTTCACATTTTTTGGCCCCGGTTAATCAGCAATGTACCAGATTTTAAGTGTGGTTTGTAGGGATTTGATTGGTTTCAGGATTTTCATCATGAGCTGACATTAGTTTGAGAACCATTGGAAAACCTGGGAGTACTGGACAGCTGTTTCGTCCTAGTTTGGGCTCTTCAGCAGTACGCACCCACCGGATTCGAACCCAGGACTTCCGGTTACAAGAGCTCGTATACATTCAGCACTGGACCCGATCCAATAGTAGAGTTAAGAGAGATTCAAAAGAGAGAGATATAATAAACAGAAATATACGTACGACAACAAGAATAGTAATATCAAAGAACCACATAGATTTATTGGATATTATAAATCACGAGGAGTGGATGCATTTGCGCCATGATTGAAAACGAGGATTTTGAGCCAAATCACTAATTTTCTCAAGCTGTCATTGGTGTTTACCGTCGTGAGGAATCCAACTAGGAAGCTAGTCAACATCTTCCTACGTGGCTGGCTGGCTTAAACTAACTGTTGTGGATTTCATTGACAGTTGAGGCCATGTTTTGGTTTGACCACCACCAGCTAGCTAGCTCTTTTCCAACCTGGTTCATCCTATATCGGCTAACATTGTCTATCGACGAGGACAGTGATGGCTAGACATATAACATATAACACATATCCTTACCATCTCAGTCGATGTAACTTCACAGCCTCGTCAATTGATTTCCCCTCTTTAACTACTAGCACTCGACGCCTAACCTCAATATTGCTCACTTTATTATATCATTTCCCAAGGGAGATAGAACGCAGGCACCAATGATCAAAGACAGCTAGCCAGTATCTTAATGTCTTCTACTTTCAATGGCTAGGTCTCACGGCCATAAAGGAGGACGTCTCCCTGGTCGATAGCTGCATATCAAGTCTACTAAACCAGAGACTGCGTAAGGTGGCAT